ACCTTCGATCAAAAGCCTTCCAACCCTTTCGCGACAGGCTCTGTTCCAACGCAACAGTCATTGCCTGCTTTGCCAGACCTCAATTTTGAATGGGGTCTGCAAAATGGCGTTGATATGACTGACATGAGCCGGGTAGACAGGCCATCATTGTCAGTCCACACTCATGGCCTATCGCAATATCGAAAGCAGCACAAGCCGACCACGCGGACGAAGAACCTGTCTCCCAGTGCCTCTCTCAGATCGAATGCAAGCACCGACAGTACCGCCAGCTACCTTGTCTCTCCTGCTTCTGCCTTCAGCGGAGCTTGGACACACGCCGAAACTAGCCTCACGTCGCCCACGTCGGACAGCATAAGCCCTGGCGGAAATCTCTCCCGAGGTTGCTCCAATGCAAGCCAATACTCCAACGCATCTCGCTACACCAACTACGACCTGCAGCTCCATACGCTCATCCAGGAGTTGCCGGCGGAGGATATCATGCTGCCTCAGACGCTCCCAGACGACATCGCCTACAACCAGCAATTCCCTCTTACCGAGGCACCGAATGCGTCGGCACCAGGGACGGAGAGCAGTATCCCTACCGCTGTTGAACAGGCAGAAGAGATGCTGGACACCGAGATGGAAGCAAAAGTCCTCGGCCGTGCCTACTCTGTAGATGCCAACTCGCTTGTCGGATCTGCTTGGGAGCTCCTCAAGGCTCACGTCAGTTCATCGATGGAGAAATTGCAGTGTCTCTCACATAACCACCTCGTGAGAGACTTGCAATCGCTTTCACCACAAAGGGTTGCCGACATCGGGCTCACATGTCTAAAGAGAATCCTCGAGGGCGGGCAACCTGCGTCGACGATCGAAGCCCTGTGCTTTGTTCACGTCACATATTCGCTTTCTCTTATTGTTCATGAGGACGACGCTCACAATAGGTCGAAACAGCTATTCGTGCAAGCACATCTCTATAGCAACATCTTCCGCCCAGGAGACCGTGAGGCCTACCTCGAGGTGGCAACGGAGATATGGCATCCACTGGACTTGTCGACCACTGAACTGGACGAGCTGCTACTGGAGCGTTATCAAGGATCAGTGTCCAGGTCGTCGAGTCTCAAGGGCAAAGGCCGAGCATCTACCCACAGATCCCACCTTGGGCATGACAGTTTTCTCGAGATAGCGCAATTCTTCCTTGACGGTAGGTGACTTTTATCCCCTTACGAGGTCTTACTGATGCTAATGTCGACTCCAGAACTGGAGGTTACAGCTTTGCCGTGTAACGTTCCAGAATCCAAGGAGGTGCTGGCGTCGACACTATGGAGCAAGCACCTCGAGGATGACGCCACATCAGCAAGCCCGGCCTTCACGATTACGGTCAACGCCGTTGCTCGCATGCTTTGCCAAGAATTCCCCCACGCACGCAGGCTTGAGTCGAAGATGCAGCGTCTTCAGAAGCGCATTAGTGGAGGAAGCGTTCGAACCGTCAGGAGAGCGGAGTTAGAGCTCATGCAGGTTGGAAAAGTGAGTTATTGCCAAGGAGATCCTAATGCGTGAAGAACTCTGCTGACTCTGCTCTCAGGGTTGCATGTCGGCGCAAGAATACTTTGACAACTACGTTCCTGAAGTTAGAGAGCGCTTCGGTGCTCTTTACTCACAGCCAATCCCGGGATATGCCGCACGGTCGGAATATCACGCTCACGGCATCGAACTAATGAGGAGCATCATCTGTGGTCTTTGCGAGAAGGAGGCGACTAAGGAACCTGTGCATGATTCCTCTCAGGCAGCAACAGATGGTAATCTTGATGAGTTCATCAGGAACATGACGAATGACCTGGACGGATCCTTGGGTGACTTCATAGTCCCCGACGACTTCGGAATTCCCGATGTTCAAGTTTCGATGGACGCCGCCACACTGTCGGACCCGTTGACGGCTTTCTACGACAGCAGCGAGGACCCAGCGCTGGATATTCTGCAACCACTCACAACGATTGGAAACAAGACTGCAGATAATTCGCCTGGGTTTGCCCAGACTGCAAAGGCCAGCTCAAGCGCAAAAGGTGAAGTGCAGGCGAATGACTGCTGCGAGATCTGCGGGTATCGGCCCAAGGGTGACCCGCAGTGGTTTAAAGGCAGTATGGCGAAGCACAAGAAGCTGCAGCACTCGGCGGCACCACCGAAGATCTACCGCTGTCCGTACCCGGGCTGCACGAGCCAGTACAAGAATCGTCCGGACAACTTGAAGCAGCACCAGCAGGATAAAGGTCACTTTGTCGAAGGAGACACCAGCGTGCGGAGACCTAGCAAGAGGAAGAAGACGAGTGACTAAATGTCACAACACGTACTGATTTGACAGAGTTTTTGAGTTTTTCGATAGATGACGGGATGGGATCGGATTATGGCGCACAAAGATACCATTTTGGCTACCGGGGCGTTCGAAGCCACCGAGAAGAAACAGCAAAGCTTGTTCTAACTGGGTCAGACCAACAGGCTGCCCTATTGTACTATATACCCTTGAGACAGATGACTGATGATATGCCGTAATACGAGCCGGCCGGGCTGTAAGAAGCAGCCTTGCTGCACACAATCTAATGAGAACATCTTCGACTTAATGTCACTTAAGAAAAAAAAAAAAAAAAAGGTTGAAATTCGGCCAAGATTTCGGTGTGCTCGGTGAAGACGGGTGACGGGGCAGGGATGGGTCCCTGTAGCAGCAACTCCACTAAAAAAGCACCCGTGAAGCACAGACAAACCACCTCAGCCGGCTGGTTCGGTTTTGCAGGGCCCGGGGGCAAATGTAGGGCTGATTTGCGGGCTTCCAGGGGGAGCTTGGTGCTGTAGCCAGCCGACGCTTCGCTGCCCGGACGGCGTCGTTGGCACTGAGGAGATGTTGAAGTCCTGCGAACTCAGGAAGCGCCTTAGGTTGAGAGCTGTGAGATAGCTAGGTAGGTGGGTGCAGATCGTCTTTGCGATGGTGGTTCTGGCTGCAGTCGAACTGCGCTGCGCATCTTGTGGAGAGGCCACACAGATCTCCAACGAATTGACTCGTTCCTTTCATCCTTTTTATTCTTGCAGTCTGTCCTGCAAGTGCCATCCAGGGTTTAAAGGCACCTGAAGGTTGAGCAGACAGCAAGGTGGACGGGAAGAGAGAGCCAGCACCGAGGTGTTGGAGGGGGCGTGTTCCCTCGAGAAGGGGCCCTGGGTGCCTGGGCCGATACCTGCAAGAGGTGGTACAAGCGCAACCTAAGCTCACCTCACCTCACATCACGTCCCCGAACTGAACGGCTGGGTGCTGGGTGCTGGGTGTTGCTGGTTGTCTCTTGGTGCCCTGCCTTATTTTTTTCTATTCTCACTCCTGCGCTCCAGACTTTCAGCGGCATCACCTACCTAACATGGCAGCAGCACTACCACACAGCACCACCAAAAAGCCGTGCAGCGACTCCCGTCGGCTTCAACCGTGATTAATCTTCGATTATTTTTCAACGTACACGCCTCTGTCCGGGAGGGGGGCGACATCAGCCAAGTTAAATCAATCACATTGTTAGCTGCTGCTGTCAATTAAATTGAGGGTGTCCAGGTCCCAGCGACATGCACCTTTTTCTTCCTCTTTTTTTTTTTTTTTTTTTTTTTTTTTTTTTTTTTCCNCTTTTTTTTTTTTTTTTTTTTTTTTTTTTTTTGTTGTCCTCTCGTGATGGCTGCATTTCCTACGGGCAATCGTCCGCCCGGTCGGATGAGAAATTCTGCCTCGTACTCGTCGCAAGCGAAACACGTTGCTTCTCTGTGTTGTGGTTTTATTTATTTATTTTTTCCCGCTGTCCCGCGTGACTGGGCAAATCGGGGGACGCGGTTTAAAGATAGAACACAGGACTGGACCTCGACCTGACCGGGCTGGGACGGTCAACAATGGGGCCGGTGACATCACTTTCGCTCCAGAAACCAAGATCACGTGCGGTTTCCAGTCTCAATACGCCAGCTGGCTGTCCCGACCAGTCTTCTCATTGGCTGGATGGACCTCTAAGGATGAAAGGGTGGAGTTTCGTTCGAGTCCCATCCTCCAGTCACAGTCCCGGTCGCTGCAGTGTCCCCGCCCCTTTTTGCGTGGGAGGAAAAAAATAAGAGAGGAAGCTGGCCAGCGCAAGCGTAGGTAGCAGCAGCCCAGTCACCTCGGACGGGCCCAAGGGAAGAAAAGGCCCGCGCCACAGAAAATTTCTCCCTTTGAGCTTTCGTCGACGACAGGCAGCCTTAGGCTTGCCTTTCCCCCCTTCTGGCACGTTTGGCAGCGTCTGGCACTTGCCAATCCCCCGTGCACTCTCCCTTTCCCGGCTGGCTCAGCAGGCTAGATGGTTGTGTATTGGGCTAGTGTCCCCCTCCCCCCTCTCTGTGAAAGTCTGAAAGTGACCCGGCTCGAGTCTCGTCTCTACCTTGCCGTAGCCCTCGCCCTGACTCTCCGTCTCTTTCTCGCCCTCTCTGCTGGTCCTCGCCCACGTCCTCGTCCACGTCCACGTCCACGTCCCAGTCCCCCTTCCCCCCCTCCCGCCCAGGTCTCTTCCATGTCCGCCGCCCTCTCTTTCTCGCACACCACCCTTCACCTCGCATGTTTGCTCTCCCCCTTCTTTTCTGTGCACACCTCCCAGAACCCACACACACTCCACGCCTCTCCCTCCCCCCATTATCGACACCCCCAGACCACATTCAAGGGTTCGTTTGTTGCATCCTTTCTCGCATCTCTGGGATTCGGGTTACGATAGCGGAGGCTCTGTCATTCTGAGAGGATCCTCGCCGACGTCCACACCGATCCCGTCCTCGACTTCGAGTCGATTCTCACCACCGAGCCCGACGTCTGAACGCTTCTCCTTGCAAGGCCCAAGGCGGGCGACTCGCTCCTCTCGCCCTCGCCCTCGCCCTCGCCTCGCCTTCACCCTCACACACAAAAAACGCTTCATCCTCCTCTTCCTTCCTTTTTTTGCCCTTCTCAAGCCCTCCGATCCTCTCTCTGAACCGGAGACGCTCCTCTCGACAGAATGTCGAGCCTGGGGCAGTCGGGTCCCAACAGCCATCCGGGCCTCGCCTTTCCTCAGCCAGGCATTCGACGCAGTCACGGCGGTCCTGGAGGCTTTCCTCCTCTACACGCGAACCCGGCAAACAAACCATCACCCGGCCCTCACAACGCGTCTCCTTATCAACAACAGGCTTACACGCCTCAGCAGCCCACCCAAGCTCAATACCCTCATCATCTCTTCCAGACTCAGACGCCCGTCAACGGCAACGTTAACGGCACCTCGCGTCCCCCGAGCCACGTCCCCAATGCCGCCACCCTCGGACGCCAGAGGGGTCCTCCCTCGCGGCAGCAGATGCCTCAACAGAGCGCGCCCTCCATGTTTCTTCCCTTAGGAGGACAACAGAACCTTGGCCACCAGCAGAGCCTGAGCCAACAACACGTCTTGGGGCAGCAACAGGGCCTAGGAGGACAACAAGGACTCGGTCAACAACAAGGACTTGGCCAGCAGCAGGGCCTGGGCCATCAGCAAGGCCTCGGTCAACATGGTCTTAGTCAACAGCAAGGTCTGGGACAACAACAAGGCCTGGGGCAGCATCAAGGACTCGGTCAGCAGCAAGGGCTTGGTCAGCAGCAGCAACAGCAGCACCAACAACACCAGCAGCACCAGCAGCACCAGCAGCAGCATCAGCAGCAGCACCAACAGCACCAGCAACCTCAACAGCACCAGCAGCACCAACAACATCAGCAACACCAGCAGCAACACCATCAACAGCAGCAGCAGCAGCACCAGCAGCAAAACCTAGGTCAGCAGAGCCTTGGCCAGCAGAGCTTGAGCCAGCAAGGCTTGAGCCAACAGAGTCTCGCTCAGCAAAGCCTAGGCCAACAGAGCCTCAACCAGCAACAGACGTTGAGCCAACAACAACAGCAGAGCCTTGCCCAGCAGCAGCAGCAACATCAACAACAGCAGCAGAGCCTGAGCCAGCAGCAAAAGTTGAGCCAACAACACAGCCTCAACCAGCAGCAGCAGAACCTGAACCCGCAGCAAATTAAGAGCGAGCCGATCATACCCCAACAGCAACAACAGCCTCAGCAACCGACGCCAAAGCCTGCCGTGCAGCAAGTCCCGCAGGCTCAGCAGATACAGCAACAGGTTCCGCAGCAGGTCCAGCAGCAGGCTCAGCAAGTGCCGCAAGTTCCTCAGGTTCAACAGGTGCAGCAGGTGCAACAGCCTGCCCAACCCCGGCCTGAGACCCCGGCTCAGGCCAGCGAACACCATGGAGACAGCATGGAGGTGGAAACCCTCGCTGAAGATGGTGACTCGCTTGAACCAAAGATGATTGATGGCGCCCCGTTCGTGCCTAGACAGCCAATGGGCGAGATGATGTCTGCTCCCCCAGAGGGAGGTAGCTACCCGACCTTGGAGGCGGTCCACAAGAGTGTGCTTGCGTACTGCACCTCTGTTGGGTACGCGATTGTTATTGGTCGTTCAAAGAAGACGGTTCCCGGTCTAAAGAAGGTGTTGTTTGTATGCGACAGGGCGGGCAAGCCCCCCAGTCGCGTCAGCCCCGAGTTCCGCAAGCGCAAGACGTCTTCCCGAAAATGCGATTGCCAATTTGGCTTCTTTGCCATTGAGCAGCGAACTCAGTGGACGATCCGATACCGTCCAGATCCCCAGCATCTGCAGCACAACCATGGGCCGAGCGAAAGCCCCCTCCTCCACCCGGCCGCTCGCAAGCTGGACAGCAAGATGGTTGCCGCCGTCAAAGCGCTCAAGGAAAATGGTGAGCCGGCGAAGTCAACAACGCGCGAAAGAGCAGTCGCTGACTCTTCGACAGGGGTTAGTGTTAACGAGACACTGGAAATATTGCAAAACGAAAACCCACACGTTCCTTTACTTCCTCGCGATATCTACAACGCACGAGCGGCGATCAATAGGAATCCTCAAAAGGTGGCGACGGGGCTAGCTGAGAACCGACCAGCCATCTACAGCAAGCCTCACCCAACGGCGGAGGAGCGCATCCGGGCAGACCTACGAAAGGAGCTCGCCAAGACGAAGGAAGACTTCGACAAGTACAAGGAGGACAAACAAAAGGAGATCGATGAGCTGAAGAAGACGCTGGAGGAGAAGGAGCAGATCATAGGGCGATTCGAGATGTTTATCGACATTTGCAATCAGCGCGTCATGGTTCAACGAGAGAGGCTTGGGGATGCGTCCGGGGCGGCCAACGGTGGTAACTAGTTGTTGGACGCTGACCGCAAGTCGCTATATGTTCAGAAGGTATCCTTGCATGGCGGATCGGGAATGGGTATTGGGATAGTGTAAGGCTGTACGAAGCTTTCTTTGTCGCGTCACGGAAGCATGGCCGTTGGTCGTTCGGAGAGCCAGGCGGGAACGGATCAGGTGTTTGATTTGGGCGGAGTCGTTTGGTCGTGCGTTCTTGGGTCCCTTAGAGCTTTGGGGACCACATGGTTCTTTGATGTGTTACTGTCTACGGAAAGAGAAGGGATGCATTGGGCGGGTTTTAAAGCAGCAGCAAACATTGCGAACATGACTGAAGCATTGAACTTTGGGTTTCGTGCTGTCAACTCTGTGAAATTGACTACCTAAGTAACAGTGAGAAACCACGGTCTGCACAGCCGACTAACATTTGATATGTAAGGTGAGGCTAGACGAGGCTACGGAAAGTGAGGTGATGTCAAGCAAGATGGACTGCCAAACCGGTAAGTTCCTGGCAGGTGTCCGGGCCAGTCCAAGTCGGTTAGTGGAGCCAGGGCGCGCGGGCTGGCGGGATGCTGCAGCTCAAGTTACCTTACCTTACCAGGGGCCGCTGCTAATAGAAAGACGATTAATAGTAATTTTGGGGCTCAAGGATAGCGGGAGTGGGCGTCGGTGGCAGATTGGACATCGCGTTGCGACCGATCTTTGCGTCTGATCGTAACGCTACGATGAGGACCGAGAAGCAAGAGGAGCAAATGCGCCGTGGCCAATTATTGAGATGAGAGGGATGTTGTTGTCGATTATTACCTAAGTCGTCAAGGGCCCTCTGCTTTGCGTTGGCACATTTGGCACAGTCAGCAACGAAACCACAGAGACGTAAGGCGTGCATATACAGGCTTGCACTAGAGACCGGGCTTGATGCAGAATTATTTATGCCTGGCCGCGCCATGTGAGGGGCCAAGGACAGCGTGTCTGAGCTTCCTCCACAAGCATTCACAAAAAAACGGATGCAAGGCAGCCAATCAAATAAGCCCCGCAATCCTCAGTGGGACACACCACGCCTTTAGTGGCCAACGCCTCCTGACACATGCTGTCGCGACAAGGATGTGTCCTGGTCGCGTCTAGTTGGGAGGGAAAAAATGAGAAGGTACCGTTTTCGCAGTCTCCCGCGCTGGAGTCGCTGCAAAACACCCATGAGGTACATGAATCACTGAGGTGCAGCTTTGCGTGCCTTCCATGCCCCTGACTTTTTGGACCGAAGGGTTCTGTAATAAACTAAAGGCAACGTGAAAGTGGGCCGGGGGACAGGTCGACTTTCCGGGGCTCCAGAGGTTTACTGCGACGGTCTAGAGTACCTAGAAAGTCAACACTGCTGCAGGCGGGAAGACGTGGACCTTCCCGGAGACAACTTTTGGCGCAGTATCGACCGAGCCGCGAATAATTGACCCAACTTACTAACAACCACCCACCACCACCAAAAGAACATCGCGAAGCTCTCTCAAATAGACGATACCCCGAGAATCCACAAGGATTCGTAACAACAGGCACGCTCCTTTAGCATCTTGTCTTCGTTTCTCTTCTTTCCTTCTATCTACACCGCGTTTAATACTGCGGCCGGCAACGCTCTCGCCCCTGAGGTTGCCTCTGACTCGACAGACCTAGCTGTCCACCACAACCTCTCGCCCGACCGTCACACCCACGATGATGCCGACCTCGTCTCTGTAAATACCGTCTTCTTCCATCTGAATACACGTCTGCCGCCATGGAGGTGGCTTCTCCCTCGATCCCTGGCGCGAACGGCGTCGTCTCGCCCACGTCCGACCCCTCGATCGATCCCGTCCGCGTCGTCGACCACATAGCTCTTGCATGCCAGATAGCTCTCGGTGCAAACCAGGAGGATCTCGAGAGCCCCGGAAGCTTGCTTCACAAGCATCGCTACTCCGACACCCTCCAGCGCTGCGCCCGCTTCGCGACCGATATCCCGAACACCTTGTACATTCAAAAGGATATCTTGCCGGCCTCTGCGATACAAAATGGCGAGGACTCAAGTTCGTCGCCCGCTGCCACGAGCTTATCCGCCGTGGCCAATGTTGCTAACCGAGTTCACGCAGAGCCGTCGTCCTACACGTACTCTCTGACCACCGAGATCTCTTCGTCCCCAACAACCGCGTCTGTCCTCGTCCTGCTCAAGCAACGGCCTGGCCCTATCGACCCCGTGCTCCCTCTCACCTCCCAGATTCTCCTCACTAATCTCCCAGGCCCTGCCACTCTGAACGCCACTGCCGGCGAGCAGGGTCCCTCGACCTCACCTTTCGAGATTCTTCACTCTTACGTTCACAATGCGCTGGCGCCGTATTTCGATGCCAATACCCGGAGCCAAATCACCAATGGCGCCAGGGGAAGGGCCGACGTCGACTCCAAGACTGGGATTCCTGTCACGAAGAAGAGGTGGAACGATCTCGAGCTGAGCTTGTTGCATCTGCAGCAGAATGTCGAGATCCCCGAGGTCTCCCTCATGTTCCACACGATGGTGCAGAATGCGCTGGAGGAGGCCGAATCCCGACACTCTAAGCCGACCCTCGATCTCATCCCGGGCGCCGTCCTCTCCGACAGTACCTTTCTCAACAGTCTCCAGAACAACGTGAACAGCTGGATCAAGTCGATCCAAGTTATTACGAGAATGACCAGGGACCCCGCCGACAGCGCCAAGGATTTCAAGTTCACTGCTAGCCAAGAGGTCAACTTTTGGTTGTCGATGGAGTCCGCTCTGGAGGGAATCGAGGGACAGCTCCGCAGCGAGGGAGTTCTTCTGACTTTGGAGATTCTCAAGCATGCGAAGCGTTTCCAGGCGACTGTCAGTTTTACGGCCGACACGGGTCTGAAGGAGGCTATGGAAAAGGTTCAGAAGTACAACCAGCTCATGAGAGACTTCCCGCTTGACGAGCTGCTTTCTGCCACATCCATGTCCAAGGTTAAGGACGCCATCGTGCAGATCTTTGGCCACCTCAACAGGAAGCTGAGAATCTGCCCCTACCCCATTCGCAGGGCACTGCCTTTGGTAGAGGCCATCTCTGGCGATTTGGACGAGGTTCTCCATCGTTTGCTACCGGGGACTGAGCTCGTCAACCTTGATTACTCCGAGTTCAAGGGTATCATGAAGTCTTGCGACGACATCTTTACTACCTGGGATGAGAGCATCAAAGAGTTCACCAACGTCGCCCGAGAAGTTACGCGTCGCAGAAACGAAAAGTTCATCCCCATTAAGGTCAACCCCAAGCATGGAGAGCTTCAAGGACGTCTCAAGTACGTCAGCACTTTCCGTGACAACCATGAGCAATTGCAGCGCACTATTGTCAATGTGCTCGGCCCCAAGGCCACCGTGAGTGGCCTGACCGAAACGACCGGCACTAACGGCGTCGTTGTCGTGGAGGAGATGGGCGACGTGGATGCCGTCGAGGAAGTGAAACAGGCGTGGGAAGCTTTGAAGAACGTCGACCTTCTGGACGTCTCCGCCGAGGGTACGGAGAGATGGGCCAAGGCCGAGAACATGTACAATGAACGGACTTCTCGGGTCGAGAACTCCATCATTGCGCGTCTCCGAGACCGTCTGGCGACTGCGAAGAATGCCAACGAGATGTTCCGCGTCTTCTCCAAGTTCAACGCTCTTTTCGTGCGACCCAAGATTCGTGGTGCCATTGCAGAGTACCAGAACCAGCTCATGGAGCACGTCAAGCAAGCCATCCATGGCCTCCACGAGCGCTTCAAGCAGCAGTATGGCCACTCCGAAGCCCACGCCATGGCTCAACTGCGTGATCTGCCACCTGTTTCTGGTGCTATCATTTGGGCTCGACAGATTGAGCACCAGCTGGACAACTACATGAAGAAGGTCGAAGATGTTCTTGGTGTTGAATGGGCCATCCACGCTGAAGGTCAGAAGCTTCAGAGCGAGAGCAATTTGTTCCGCAAAAAGCTCGACACTCAGACTATTTACAAGGCTTGGCTTGACGACGTCCAGCGCCGGCAAATATCCATCTCCGGCTTTCTCTTCGACATTCGCCGCATGAGAGCAAACGGTGGCAACTATGAGCTCCTTGTGAACTTCGATCCACAGGTCATCACCCTGTTCAAGGAGACGCGAAACCTGATGTGGCAGAACTATGCTGTGCCACACTCCATCAACAATGTGTCTAAAGATGCCAAGCGCGTATACCCTTTCGCCGTCAGCCTTATGGAGAGTGTTCGTACCTTCTCGCAAACAATGCGTCAGATCTCTGAGATGGGCGAGGAAGCGGTCCTCGTCTTTGGATACAGGAACGACGTCTACGCCCTTGTGGCCAGGGGTGTTCCCCTCAGATGGGAGTCCTTCGTCAACTCGCATGAGATTTTCTTCTCCACCAAGAATAATGCCAATTTGCCGTCCGTCTCTGAGTTCGGTTTGTCGAAGCCATCAGAAAGCAAGCACAGTCTGTTCATCCGGGAGTTCGCTGCGGCCGTGTCTTTGCTTCAGGCCAAGACTGCGTCTCTGGCCTCGATTCACGCCACCGTAGAGAAGGCTCTTCTTGAACTCAACACCTGTCCATACGAAGCGGACGCCTTCACCTCGCGCCTTGAGACCATTCAGACAGCTGTTGACCAGCTGAACCTGGAGCAATACGTCAACCTCCCCTACTGGGTTGAGAACATGAACCAGAAGCTCAAGGATGTGCTCCTGGCTCGCCTTCAAGACGCCATCCTTACCTGGATCCAAGCCTTTGAGGACGAGTATCTTGACGACGGCCGCCGGAAGCAAGTCACGGACAATGGCGAGGCGCCAACTCCCCAAGGCCCAACGATCAAGCGCTTGGTCCATGAGCTGTCCATGCGGAACCAGGTGATTTACTTGGACCCCCCGCTGGAGTATGCCCGCTCGAGCTGGTTCGTACAGTTGCACGAATGGCTAGGAATTGTTTGCAATCTGAAGAAGATCAAGGCTACGCGTTACCAGATGACCCTTACCACTACAACGCTGGACGAGCCCCGTT